CACACACACACACACACACACACACACACACACACACACACACACACCTCTTTCTCCTTCTGTTTCTGAATCTCTTGGTCTTCCGCCCAGGCCGCTCTGAGAATCTCCTCATGCTCCTCACACACGATGTAACCATCAGTCCTGAAACACACACATTTAACCACACACTGTATATCAGAAGCATTTCATACGTTTTCATAACATCTGCTTTTTTGGTCTTTCCGTTTTCCAGCAGTAGAGGAAACTACTAAGGTTGTGCGGGTAGATATATAATTTGCAGACTTTGGAGTGTTTGAGTGATTATTTAAATATTCAATCCATATCATGCAAATGTTTACGAAATAGTAGTTTTAGTGGTAACTTCCCCCAGCATGCAACAGAACTAACAGCAGCAGTGTTTACAATGCGTGTGCCTCAAATTCACACATCTAATTGAGAACAATACATTTCTTTTGACACACTTAATATAAATATTGTGTCAGAGATCACGATTAAAGTACTTTCTTCGGATGTTTAACATGAAATGATGATGTATGTAATGATTTTCTGTGTTCTTACAGGTGTTAGAAAACTATCCTACACGTGATAAAAGCAACTGTTAAAATTACAAGCACGAAAGAAAAAAAGAAATACAAGAAAACCGTTCAGTGTTGTCTTACACAGCATGCGAGTATCCTCCATGGAAGTCAAAGCCCATGACCGCAGGGGCGGCGTCCATGTTCAGCTTCTTGGCCACGCGGTGCAGGTTGGGCAGCTTGAGGTGAACACAGCCCACCGGTAACATACAGGGCTTGAACAGGTAGACGTTACCATAGTCGTTACGGGGAACCTGGAGATACGGTCACAGAAAACATGTAAACAACACTGCACACATTTGACTTCCTCTGAATATATTGGTTTCTCATTAAAATTAAATTAATATTTAATAATATCTGCTGCTACAGTGACCGCATTTCCTCCCAGTAATCATTCTAGTCCACACAAAGGCGGTTACCTTCCCATCCACTGCTAGAGGCGGCTGGTACTCTTCAGTCTGCCATTCTCCAAACAGAGCCAGGTCATTCTCCTCCTTCTGCTCAGACGCCATCCTGGCTTTGCGGGAACGATTAGAGAAGCCCCTCACCATCTGAAAGAGAGTGAGACAGTGGAGCTTTTTCATACACATTGTCTCGTTATCCTTTCAGTTCAGTCATACAGCAAACAAACACTGCGATTCGAGTCCTACATCAGTGTCAATAACAGCTGAGGCTGAATAGCTAATATGTCCTACCCTGTCACCACAGTAAGGTTAGTCTACTAAAACGGTCTAAGTGTAGATAAACATGTAAATTCTAAGATGATGGTCTGCAGGTTTTTTTCTTCTGCAAAGCACTATTTTACCTGTTTGCATTAGCATCGTGTCTAATCAGTGCCCACTGGCTGAAACACTTGTCACCATCATCAGTTCATGGTTACAATGTAGACAAACAGAGATTTAACAGCATCATTGCTCCCCAAAGTATTCAATAAATATGCAGATTTGCATAACTGTCTCTGACAAGATCTTAGCTTTGCAAATTCACAAATTTAACTTTGTTGAATGTGTTTTGCTTTACATGCTTTTTCTTAATCATAAAGTAGTCATGCATTCACGAGGCATTACTGCCTGAGCCCTGCTTTACAGTACATCTCAGTATAATCAGTCTAAAAACCGTCGTGACTTTTGTCTACACAGCAGAAAAACAAATATGTTTCCTCTAGAAACTGAATATTACGCAACGCAGTAACCTTGCTCTTTTGTTTTGGGTGATTGTATGTCATTTTCCCAGCTCATCCACTTCAATGTTAGGAAGAGAACTATGGTGGAGGAATGGTGGTTGTATGAACAGCAGAGTGTTGATTTACATTTCAATGGATTCATTTAGAGGTTGACTGTTGATGAAGTTGTTCACCATATTTGGTAACATCAGTCATGACTCGAGTCATGCAAATAAAAGACTGCTGGAGTGATTTCGCAAGAGTGGAATTAAGTAAGAGAGGAACAGAAATAACAGAGAAACAAACACACACATAAACAAACTGAAAGAAGGGAAGTGTTGGATGGAAGAGAAAGAAAAAAAAAAAGAAGAGAAACTAATGAGGAGAACAGATTGGAAGAAGATATTCCCACTCACCTTAGATGGTTCCTCTCCTAGTCTGACAGTCCGTGCCTCTTTCAGCCAAGTGTCTTTGGAGTGGAGCGTGTGCACACAATCCCTAAAGAGAAAGAGGATTTTAATATGAATATTGTGAAATATTATTATTTTTTTGGACTGAATTTGTCTCAAGAATTGAAAGTTTTTGCTCATGGCTTAAGCCCAATGCGCACACAATTTATTTAGGTTGTATCTGTAAATGAATCTGTATGAACAGTGGCTAACAAACAACAACAGTCAGCAGCAGATGTAATTTACTGCTATCAGATCACTATGAACATTTGAACTCCACAGGTTAACTAATCAAATAGCACCACCAGGTGGACACTGGTGCTCACAGCCACAATCAGACACGCAGGTCATCCATAGCTGTGTCACAATTCAGCTGATCTTCCAACTCACCCGGCCAATGAAGGTGGGTCCCACACACAGAAACTCTAGTCCTACCAGAACAAGATGGTCTAACCTCCCAGACGCCAAAACACATGCTGCATTCAGGTGCTTCCTAATTTAAAGTTTTATGCAGGACCACTGTCAACTGGGACAACTTCCACGATGCCCTACGGTGCGAGTGGTGATGAGTTCAACACATGGTGACCGTCTCGCAAACCTTCTACCAGAGACTGGTCTGTGTATCCGTACACACCCTGTGATTCACAACGAAAAACAAACATGGTATTTTATTCCTGTGTTTTAAAGGAGGCATTTGCCTTATTTCTTCTTGGTCTTTTTCATTCTCGTTCAAGCGGTAGATCAACCACTGACTGATGACCACATGTGTGCAAAAACCTAGAAAATAATAAGCGGTCACATGAAATTTTCCGACTTTAAGGGGACTTGTGTGAACATCCTGTTAAACAACCGATTAGTGTACAAATGTACTGAGGGCTGAAAAGTATACATGTCAAATTCAACCCAAATAAGGCTGCACTGCACTGCATTGCATTGCTGACTGTTTTGCCACTGACCTGGAGTACACCGGCTCTCCCCTGCAGTATCCCAGTACAGTGGCTGATGATGGGTAGATAGCTTCATATTTCAGTATGTGTCTCTTTAAGGCGTACATCGGGTGGTTCTTGTACTCCGCTATTGAGATGGGCAGGGGTTTGTTCAGCAGTTTGTTCTGGAGCTGGACGGCCAACATGGGGAAGAAACAGAGAGAAGATAGTATCAATGAGTATCAATGAGTGTGAAAAATAAGATGGAGGTTGTTTGTGTATAAAATAAATCATTGGATCTGTCTGAATGTCTACACGTCTCTCTGTCTCACCTCCTTGTCCTCCTTTATGTCCCTCTCGTCCTCGGGTCCAATGAACGGCTCAAGCGTCTTTTCCCACCAATCTTCATCCACCCGCCTCTTCCTGGAAGATGTCAACGTGGTGGGGTCGTACTTCCTTCCCAAGTCCTTCACAAAGCCGTCTCCGTCCACTGACACCACGTACGTAATCGGCGCCGTTGCATTCTGGGAGCAGAGGTGAGGCATCCCGACACCGTGCTCCACGTCTACGCAAACCCAGGAGGAGGTTTTCACCAGATACACCTCCAACCACTCGTCCGCTCCGGGCCCCTCATTCTTTCTCCTTCGCTTTGTTCTGTTGTGCATGGTTCCTTCTTCATCATCATCATCTTCCTCCTCTTCCTCCCACTCTTTGCCCTCCTCGTCTTTGATCTGTTTTTTCCCTCCACTACTCCTTCTCTTCGGAGCTGCAGTGTTCTTGCTGTTTGTCACTTTGGCTTTGCTCTTTCCTTTCCCCTCCTTCCACTTTGTGGATTTAGCGCCTCCCTCTGAATCCTCACTGTTCTCCTCACTGGTCGCCTGAAATTTCTCCTCTTCGCTAAGCCCCTCCTCCTTCTTTTCCCCTCCGCTGTCACTTTCTTCCTTGTAGCTGACTTTAGAGGCGATCCTGCGACGTTTTGAGTTCTTTGGCCTCTGCCCTCCCGATGTTTTAGTCTTCTCCTTTACCTCGTCATGCTCCTCCTTTATTTCTTTCGTCTTTGCTTTCTTTCCTCCTCGGTCTCCTGTGATCTTCCCCCCTCCAGCTGGTCTCTTGGTGCCAGGTGAGACCTTCTGCTCAGGGGAGGTGGTCTTGGAGGTTTGCTGGCATGTGTTGCTCTTTCCTGGGGCACCGGTAGAAGTTCTTGCCCCTTTGCCCTGCAGAAAGGACATTTAGATTATGTGTATAAGAGCAGAAGACTCTAAAAGTAGTCGATAAACATTTAAGAGAATCATAAAAGTAAGTTAATTAATAAATGATTGAAACATCACGTTTCTGCTAACTTACTATAGGTGATAGTGGTATGAATGCAAACTTGACCATAACGACCTAAACATTGACAGTTCCAACAGTATGAAAACAACAACTGTAACCACGTACAATTCTATATCATTCATTCTATATCACAAAAAAATGATTTACCAATGAACTTAAGTTCATCAGTAAGGCGCTGTTGTGGTACATCAGACTGGAAAGGTTGGGAACCACTGGTACGGACTATCAGCAGGTTAACTGGTGAAAAGAATGATTGCTTCTGATATTTATTTCTGATATATCCCTAATTCAAATGATAGTCAACACAGAGATTTTTCTTACATTCTCAACTACAAAAGGGAGTACCAGGCTTACATATCAAATCATACAAACATTAGTGAATCATCTGTTTTCTATCTAATGATTTCAAAGACCTTGTACTAAAAATGTACACGATACATTTTAACAGAAAGGTTTTAGCAATTTTATTGATGAAATCCTGTTTCATGGATAAGTAATGCTGAATGTGTCAGTATTTAAGGGGAACAGATTTCAAAATCTGTATTTAGTTGTTGGCCATCGTACTGAAAACTTGAGCATAAAGGCTGAGGACAGAGTTCTCCGTACATTAAAATGAAGCCAATGGCTGAGTGTGGTCGCTGTATCTACATCAGTACGCACGTACCTTGGCTGATGGGGGTTTGAGAGGAATCGGCTGCAAAGAAAGAACCAATCGGCAGAAGAGCTGCAGAGACCTCAGGACCAACAGGAACAGCTGCAGGAAACACAAAACGCATATGAGCATAATTATTGAACCAGATTATTCTACCTTTGAATGTTCACTCAAAGGCTGAACTTCACTTCTTTAATTGGACTAATCGTGTTCCAAAACACCAACATATGTCATCTCCTGGTGGTTTCTGGCAGACAGGCTGGCCAGCCGCCTCTCCAGCAGAGTGCGGAGGTTCTGACGCTCCTCACAGGGAAGACAGGGGTTGAGGGTGAACGTTGATCTAAACCTGAAAGGGAAGAGAATGGAAATAGAAGATACAGTGGTTAGTACACCAAGGTAATAGTGACCGATATAGTGACTCTGTTTTACACATTCAGACATGAAAAGTTGCTTCAGGCACCACGACACACGTCATATTTGACGAGCACACACCATTTGTGCAGTCCAGAGAGGTAGTTTTGGTCGATGCGTTCCTTGGCGACCATGCTGAAGTGGGTGGGCAGCAGAGACAGAGTGATGGCCAGCAAGTCCGGCTCACAGCACAGACGGCCGCGGAAGATCCCACTGGCTATCAGGCACATCACGTGGACCTGAGAGACCAATCAGAGGTTTGCAATGACCCAAAACAAATTCCAGACACAGAATAAGGAGACAGCGATTAAGAAGAATACGTCGTTGTTTTCACCTTGTGTGTGTCGATCAGCACGTCCTTCTTGTATCGGTTCACCATCCGCCTCATATAAGTCTCAAACTCTGCCTTCTTCTTTTGCCTGGCCAATGAGAAATGATGATTATTAGAGTAAAACAGACTTTTCTCCATAGTGTATACTCACACACAAATCTACATACAAATATATACAAACTTGCACCCGTTGGCTGTTGAAATGCATACGCTGCATGATTGTAATCAGACAAATTTGCAATGGCTTTGTACAAAGATGCAGTGAGTCAGCAGGTTTGAAATTCATCAATTCAGGGTTAAGATGAATAAGAAAAGAATCAGTTTCACAAGGAGTTAGTCCACGGAGCCTTAAGGCGCTCTCGACAATACAACAACTGGTCATAGAATAGAAAATGTTCTTTAGGCACTCTATGGCAGAACAGGAAGAAAAGGTAACTTTGGTAAATTGTAATTTGTTGACGCTACATGGAACTGTATTTAAGATGAGAATATATATATATATATATATGACATGTAGTAGATCATAAACAGAATACTGAAACAGATCACAATTTAAGAAACAAAGCTGTCATTAATCTTTTCTTACACTACTACACAAAATGTCCACTTACTTCTTCCTGACCTCTGGAGTCTCGATCTCTATCTCAACGGGCTGTGAGGGCAGGACGGGTTCCTGTGGTTCAACTGGACCCAGCGGCTCAGAAAGCTCTGGTCAACAAAGACACACTCAATTATTTTGTCACTTCTGTTTCATACTTTCTCCCCAACATGCTACAATATATCTGTGAAAACAATACTTTCCAACTTTCTTCTCACCTTTTTATATAAAATGAAAAAGAGTTGGAAATGTGTTATTACACACAACGAGCAGGTTTCTGCTGCTCCCTCACTTACCTTCCACTTCCTCCCAATCATCCTCGTCTTCGTCACTATCCTCCTCCTCCTCCTCTTCTTCTTCTTTCCTGGTTTCCTTGGCGTTCACTTTAATCGCAGGTGCTGCTGAGGTCACCATGTCAAAGTCCTCTTCACTGTCACTCACCTCCTCCTTCTCTGGCGACTGGAAGTATTTACTGGTTTTGACAGCAGCTGCGGTCGTAGATGTGGTGGAAGACGTGTTCCTTGGCGCTCGTTTTGTGGAGCCACGTGGTTTGGGTTTGACCTTCCTCTCGAGCTTCTCCTCTTCATCTGTGATGACATTACCTGGAAGGACAGACAGAACGAAATAGGTTTACGCTACAGGATTTGAGTAATGATTAAGACCGAGTAGTTTAAAAGGGATACGGTTTGGTTTTCAGTCTTCTACTTCTCACTTTTTCTGTCCTTATATAATTGGAATCTTTGTGATGTAAAGCTGTTATATTTAGCGTCAATGAATCTCAACCACATTAATGTAAAACTGAAGTATGATCCTGTACGAACAAGATCACCATTGCCTCTGCATTGCATTTTATGTTGTGAGAAAGTTAACATTTAAAAGGAAATGTGTTTAAATTATTAGTTTAGATTATTATAGATTAAAAGCTAAATGTGAATAAACATGTATCAATAGAAATCAACTAGTACAATGGTGGTGGTGGTTGAGTCCTCCTCACAGCAGGAAGCAGAAAGGCTCATGGGAGTTACGGTTGCAGTTTTATGAATCACTTGTCATAAATCATGAAAGTCATAAAAAGGCAAGAAACACAACCTACCAATCATCTCAACCAAAGTCTCATTTGTAAATAGTAAATACTGCCTGGTATCAATGCTGCTGCTGTTCAAGAACTCTACACAGAGAACATTTGAGAGCACGCTGCTGCTGCTACACTTATTGTGTGTTTTTATTATACAGGAATGCCTAAAGGTGCATTTTAAACTGTGACAAGAGCAGAGAGACACACTTGAATTACTTGAATTAAGATGCAAAACATACAAATGAGACCTCACTGAGAATGATGCATCTTCTCAAAACTTATTTTTTTAAATGCATGCAAAAAATCTGCATCTGTATGGCGCATGCTTTACACTCAGGACAGAATTGGTCCCCATGTTCATTTATTTTCATTCACTTCGATACTTTATATTTGTTGTGTATTTTGTGTCGTTTGATATTGCGTCTTGACAATTAATACATTTCAAATAATGATGTATACGACAGATGTGGTCCCTTACTTCCACACTTACAAAAACAAGCTTCATGTTTTGATGAAGTGGAGCACAGATGTGTATCTGGGTTAACAGACCCACTCAACTAACCATCCATATCACCCGCACATGCACCTGCGCTCTGGCTGCTTAATAACAAAACAGCCATGAGTAGGAATCATCAAACACTGAATAGGGGATTTTAAACTATTGAAGACTCCCTTAAAGATAACTTTGACAGCACTTACAAAAGATACACATCGCTTATTGAGGTCTTTATAAGTTGGTGAATTCTCTAAAAATTCTGTGAATCATCGCTCTCTAGGGCTGGGCAGTAATTCGATATTATTTGTCAACTTTCAGTGTAATCATATTGTGATGAGATATATATATATATATATATATATATATATATATATATATATATATTTGGTTTGGTTTGTCTGATCTGATGTATGACAAGTGACAACATAATTGTATTTATTTATTTATTGATTGCATTAAACATCTTTACCGTTATGACATATTTCCTATATCACACTTTATGATGATAATGGCAAAGTATCGCAGTTTATTATATCTGATGTATCAGTCATTGACATGTGTCACTGGACCTACTTCAACAAGACTGTCATGCAGTGATACCTTTAGTCTACAATGACAACCGGCTATAATTCATATCCGTATCACCATATGAAACAGGATGCATGCTTAACGTTCTTCTCAAATGAATGTACTGTATGCATAAGCTTATAGTGGGAATGAACAAACTGCCCCCTCTTACTTTACAATCTGAGTTATTCTCACGCAGACAAACACAAGTAGTTAGCAAGCAGAATGTGGTTTCCTATTAATTTTTCTGGACGCAGACTTCACACATCCCGTGCAGCAAACAGGGAGGATGGGAAGTTAGGGTTGCTACATAAGTCCTGGCTTGTCATACCTGCATCTTTCTTCTTCGCTCTCGCTTTGGCTCCTCCGCTCTCTGCCTTCGGCACCTGCTTCGGTTTCTTTGTATCGGCCTCTGTCTCTGCACACCCTCTCCGCTTTGCCATTCTCTCTTTCTGTCCTTCCTCAAACTTGTACCAATAAAAATCACTTTCTTTGAATCTAAGCGTCTTTCGGCAAAACTAGACCGGCGGAAGTCGCTCAGCTCTCCACATGATGTTGTGTAAAGGAAGGGAAGCAGCGGTTATCCAACATTTCCATCTGCAGATTTCATAAGTCAAGAAAGAGCACTCCGTTTGTTTTGGAGGCAGAACTCTGACGTCACTTCCGCTCCTTCTTCTTCTTCGCTGTTAATATTGCACCTGCACAAAGTCGCCCAACTTGCCTTCTTCCATTTAACCCCCCCCCCCCCCCCCCCCCCCCCCCACACCCCCCCCACCCCCCCC